CCCGCCCTCGCCCTCGCCCTCCTCCAGGAGTATATATATATATACATATATCTGCTGCAGGGTATTTGGAGTTTGCAAAATGGGGAAGAGGTGGGTTTGGCCTTGGGAGGGAAAGAATGGAAACCCCAAAAGGGCAATTCAACATTTCAATGGGCCATTGCAGACTCTCCCCCTCCCTTGGCACAGATTAGGAATCTCTCTATCTATTTATCTAGCAAATGGAGTTGGATTACAGCAAACACAAGCCCTCTGCTTTCCTCTCCTCTTTAAAGAGCCTCTCCCCCACCCCAAACGACCTGGGCAAAGCAGTTTGGCCCCCAGGATCTTCCACCCAGATTTCCATGAGAATAAAAGGCTGATGAGGAGGGAGGGGCTGCTAAATTGCAGCAGAGGATGAGAAGTATCAGCTGTCTGCCATCCATCATCTCTCTCTCTCCTAATCCAGGAAAGTCTTTACTATGTAGGGCCCTTCCCATGGAATCCCTTCGGTGATGTCAGCATGTCTTGGCTGCATTTCTGTGAGGCCTTTTTTTTCAAGAAGCTCAAAGCTGCAGTAAAATATCCTCCTAACAACCCTGTGAGGTAGGTTAAGATGAGTGGTTAACTATACTTCAAGCCTGCTTGAGTGTGGAACTCCTTCACAATTCTGCTCCCACTTCTACATCTCTAGAAGCCTTTAGAATAAATCATAATCATAATGCAAATAGAAGTAGAATGACTATGGCAAAAGAAAAGCAAAGATAGTACCAATATTTATAGGCACCTTGGGTGCAATCCCAAAACATCTGGAGCACCCCTTGAACCCCATCAGCATTGACAAAATCACCATCAGTCCATTGCGAAAGGCAGCTTTACTTGGGACAGCTTCCATCCTGCAACAATACCTCTAACTCCATCATAAAACAACATCTGTCTACCCCAGGTCCTTGGGAAGGACTCGATAGGTGGATAAAAATGCCAAATCCAGTCTAAACATCTGGCTGACTGTACAATCAACCAACCACCATCATCATCATTGTTATTCTGTCTTATTTTTTGTTGTATTTGCTAGATTTATATCTGGCCTTTTCTCCAGGAGCTCAGAGCAGCTCACCTGGGAATCTCTTTGCTTTATCCTCACAACCACCACCCTGTGAATTAGGCTGGGCTGAGAAGTCACCCAGTGAATTTCAGGGACCGAGTCTGGCCTAGCTCTCTCAGGCTTCATCTAACACTTAACCATCACACCACACTATACCACCACAGGACACTACACTATAAGTCAGTGTTGTGCTCACCTTATTCCGACCTCTCCTATAATGATGGATACCCTCCCCCCTCCACCACCCACATCTCGCAGACCTACCCCCACAAATAAGTGATCT